GATTCCCATCGAACGAGCGGATGTTTTCCTGGATCCAACGCAACGCCTGCACGATGTCTTTTAGACCGTAGTTGCCTGGGCTGGCTCTGCTGGCTGTGCTGAAGAATCCTTCAGATTTTCAGATCCAGAGGGAGAAATAAAAATTTCAGAATGAAAAATTGGAAAAAACAAGGTTGTTTGAATTTTGAGGATGTTGAAAACGATGGAAGATGTATCCAATTGAAATTGAATTGGAATGAATTAAAGGGTTGAAGAGTTAAGGTTATTTGAATGTTGAAGAAATTGGAAGTTTTTGAGGCTAGATAATTGGGAAATTGGATATTTTTATATTGGAAAATTGGAGGTTAGGGGTTGTGAGAAATTGGAATATTAAAAATTTCAAGTATCGGATAACGTATTGGGAAATTGAGAATTAGAAAATTTGGGAGTGCGGTATCGAGTATCCAGAACATCATTGGAAATTGAAAAATTGAGAAATTGGATTATAAACAGATGGATTAGAACAGTTAAAAAGCAGCGGGGAAATTGGAGATTTTGGATCATAAAAATTGTTAATTTTTATTTTTTACTTTCTAATTTAATTTTGAAACTTTTACTATTTGCACGTGTGTAAATTTGCACATCGATGAAATTTTTAAATTTCATTCAGAAAAGCAGTGGATGCCTATTTAAATTGGAAAATTGTATTATTTTTTTTTCTTAAATATTTTCTAATTTAATTTTGAAACTTCTACTATTTGAACTTGTGTAAATTTGCACATTGATAAAATTTTTAAATTTCATTCAGACGATTTTCAATAGCATTAATAAGTCGCAAAATTATTACCTAAAAGATTTAAACGATAATTCATCACAACCAAGATTACATCCTGATCCATTATATAATCTGGTGGAAATTTGTAGCTGCTAGCGTTACCGGTGGAGAATTTTCCACCGTATGCGTATACCATTACCGGAAGCCCACTGTTCTCTTTTTCTGAAATTTCCTAAATGAAAAAAAAAAAAAAAAAG